TATCTCACTTTGCTTGAATTTGCATTGATTACGTGAAAATCGATTGTCCTTAACTTCTCTTTCAAGAAACATATCCCAAAAAATTTTTCGATTACATTCATTCAGTTGGCAAATGATGTCAGGGATCTCAACACCAATGCAAGCTTAGATCAGGGCTCAATGACCACGTGACACTGACATCATTTTCTTTGGCGTCCATACTATAAATGGATAACTAAAATAACTAGCATCGCCTCATTGGTGGAATGGGTTCTGAATTAACTGTTGATGATCACTCAAACTAATATGAAATGTCTGGACCACAAAGTAATTTTCAGCCTGTTTCAGTTTATGCAAACAAGATGCAAGAGCGTTAACTTATGTTTGCTGGGATGTGTGCAGCAGAGTTTTAAAGTATGCGGAATAAATTTCCTTAGTAAAATCTCATTTCTCCATTTGAATTCTCATCTTCTTATTCATGGAAAGATTTCACTGTTTCGATTATTATTCTTCACCGATTTTAGAAGGGTGTTTCCGTTTTGCTTTGCACAAAAATGGATACACAGATTCGTTACTTGGTGCACCTACCGTCATTTTGAATAAGATGACTTGCGGTTATATAAGCAATGAATGAGCCACACCCTTCTTTTCAATTCAGTTCTGTTACTGAGCTGCTGTTCATCTGGTACTGGTAAACTTCCTGCTGAGCATTTTGAACAACATGAAGCTCGCGGAGTATGAGCTGAAACTAATCTTTGTCATTACACATGGCGCCAAATACCCCAAGCAGCCTGTCTACAGAAATAAGTGGCTCGTGGAAGAGATTAACATGCTGTATATACGGCTGCTATGAGAACGATGATCTTAGGGTTGAGTGGGATAATAAAGCCGCCCAAGTCACAAAACCCCATACGAATCTCTTCCTACCCACTGCAAATCCTTAGCATTTTAAATTTTTCAGCAGTTTCCATTTTCATTGGTTTCTGATTAACTGGTCTGTTGAGGATACACTCCTAACTCCCCTTTGATGACTGTAGCAGAAAATTCACTTGTGGGTGTAAAGTTAGCGATAGAAACCAGCTCTAACGGTTGGATGTTTGGCTATTTTCCTTTGATTTGGAACTTTTTGTCGCATAAAAGGTCAACTTCTCTGTGGCTGGATCGATGCACAAAACGTTGACATTATCAACGTTTGTGATAGAAAAAGATAACATTTTTCTCGGCTTAGATGAGTACACGACCATGGATTTCATTTCTGTAGCATTTTGAAATATTGTCGTTCTTCCAATATAATTGTTTATGAACCTTTCATATGAGGTACACTTTCCTAAATTGAAAAACATTAACCGAGAAGTCGATAATTCAATTTTAAACTTTCCCTAATTATAAGATAACGAGCGCGCTTTGGACCCAAAGTGTACCGCCTTAGTCTTGCATCACGTCTAGTACAATGACTTGAAATGCTCAAATCATACATGGTACTTTTGTGCCAATTATTCCAAAATTCTCTTTCAATCGAGTGGTATTGTAGTTGCCTACAGCTCGTGTGTCTAAATTGCAATTTAGCGGAGAAATTTTTTAAGCACCGCATCTTTAGCTGCTGCTGCTCCTCAACCATGGAATTCATTGCCCTACGCGATTAGGAGTAGCCCCTCAGTAGCATATTTTAAAAAGACACTAAAGACATTTTTATTTCAGAAAGCTGTGATTTTATGTGCTTTTTAATCTCGTTTTTTGTAGATTTTATGCAGTTTTTTACGATTTAAGTAGTCTAGGTAATTTTTATAGTTTAAGTGTCGACAAAATTGTTTTAACTCTTTTTGGTAGGTTCATGCACTTTATGTAAGCGCTGATGAAAATAGCAATACTGATATCGGCGCTATATAAGTATTTATTATTATTATTATTATTATTATTATTATTATTATCATTATTATAAAGATTACCGTTAGAAATATGAGTAAAGTTAAGCTAATTCCTTCATCTATTTCAAGTAGCTTAGTTGTTGTTCAATTATAAGGGATAAACATGCACTTTAAATATACTCTGCCTTGAGGACATACATAGCAACAACTTTGTTTTTTTTGTGAAAGCGCTCGACGTATTGTTAGGGAGCTGAGTTTGAAAGGCTTGATTTCTTGTCCTTAACGGGGAGAAACATGGCTATTTTCATTACATTCAGATTGATCATATTTTTTACATTTTAATGTTTCAATATAAAATTTAAAGGAATATCAATTTGGTAGCTTTAAATTGTGTATCTCAAAAATGGCCTCCACAAGACTATCCTGTCATCTATTTTTTTAGACATATTAACAAACAGAAATATGAGGAGGCACGATCGCTTGGTACCGCATGACCTGTTCATTTGTACCTCAAAAACTGGCATTTCTTCAAAATTAAGCGGGGAGAGCTATTTGGGCCGGGCCACCTCCTGGATTCAGCTCTGAACCTTGTAATTGACTTTGTTAATAATTGAAAGGAGAATAAAATAGCTTACTGCAGTATCCGAAAGTGGAGG